AAAAATATGTTGCAAAATATGTCTGTGGATTAATGGCACAAAAGTAGAATGTTTTGGAAGATGTCATCTCTTTACATCTGGTTTAAACTATGCAGCATTCTGGAAAAGAAAACATATTTTCCTTTTCTATTTCACAGCCTGGATATATTCCTGTGATTAATAGAAATATGGATATTTCTCTCCAGCATAAAATCCTGGAAATATCCATCTATCAGCTCATGACTTTAAACAGCACCAGGACACAGATCCAAATCACTACAGTCCACCTCTGTAGAGCCAAAAGTAATGCAGATTATTTAGTGGCCTAATCAAAGTCTGGACTAAATTCTATTGAGATGCTGCTATTTGACTTCAAACCATTCAGACGTTGTGCTTGTTATTGCAAATGCATGATGACAGTTTTTGTCACTAAGAATGGCACAACTAGTTCCTGCTTTTAAATCATTTATACAATAATGCAATCAGAGTATTATTTTAAGAAAAGTTGCACTCTATATTTAGTCAAGTTATAATTATTCTGTCACCACTAAAAGGAGTTTGGTGATCCGAAGCAAAGTATATGAAAGATGGCAAAACCTTGTCTCAGCCCATTGTCTGTCTTTCCACTGTTATTTCCTAATCTCCTCCATAATATAGAGATGCAGAGAAGAGCACAACCTAATGAGGAACTCATGTTTCTTGACAAAACTCTGTTGTTATGCAACAGTGGCAATCATGCTTTGAGAAACGCTGAGGGAACACTGCCTCAGTTCATCTCTCTGCTTCCTGTGGATAGATTTCTATTTATGGAAGATTAAAGTTAAGCCTGGAAAGGGATCCAACAAACCAGATATTAACCTGTTATTATATGCACAAAATAGGGATCCCATGTTTACATGTTTATGTTCATATTTACTTAATTGAGACATTTTGTTTTTACCCAAATGTGTTAAAAACTAAACAGCGTCCAAATTTACCATTTCTTTTTTAACCGCAGCATCAAAAAAGGAATAGGGAACCAATACAATAATGCTAATTTAACGGACTGTGGTAATGATTACTTTGACCTAGGGTCTACACCAGAAAATGGGTTGGTTTATTAAAGCTAATATTAGCCTGTTAAGTTAAGTTGTTCACACAAGGTATTGGTAGCTATGTTTAACACTGACCAACATATAACATATAAGTGCATGGGTGTGTGCACATTTGTAAGGGCTATTGAGTAAATATGGTTTTAGTGCCAAGAGATTTAAGTTGTTAAACAATTGTCACTATGAGCTCTATTACATTTGCTCAGTTTGTGTGTCAGCTTAGTTAATAAGGTTCCTTTTCAGAAAGCAGAAATATTATTTCATCCACAATTACAATAGTTTATTCACTCTTCTAAACTTTATTTGCTTTTTTTCTGTTATTTTTGTTTGTAAACCATTGCTTTTTTTCTCCAGGTTTCAAAAGTTTGTCCTGCCACTGTTATTTTTTTTATTTTGCACTTAATCTGCACCTTGGCTTTTTTTTTCTAAAAGAGGGGAAATTAAAGTAAAAAATAGCGCTTAAGGTTAATTCCCTGTTTAGATAAAATTGGCATTTTAACTGCCAAATGACTCAACGTTTTTAAACCAGATTTTATCTCAGGTCTTTCTAAACACCGGATGCTCGTTTTGCCTTCTCAATTGCACAAAGTGAATTTCAGAAACCATACAGCTGTAAAAAAAAAAAAAAAAAAAAAAAAAAACATCCATGCTGTTGAATCTTTCTATAAATAATATAAAAAAATCTCACAGCATTTTAAATCCTTGACAGTTTTTAAACTTTAAATGGTCTTATTTAGTTTATTTCACAACACACATCCTCTCAAGGTAGCAGAAAGGTAATAATCATGTTTGCTTGATGAAAAATGTTTCCTGCTTGATGTTCACTCTTAAAAAATCTATTATTTATTAATGATGAACGATAAAAAAACAAAATTTTTACCGTTAAATGGTGGTTTTTAATCCGTAACATGGATGGACAGACTGACGGACAGAATGACTCTGACTGAATGACTGACTGAAGGACGGACGGACTGGACCGGACCGATGGATGGACAGAGATAGACAGTAAAGGAGTTCTGTAATGTTTATATGGTTAAACTCCTGCATTCTCCATTTCAACACAATCTATCTGTTAACCTTCATCTTTCATCAAGGATGGAAATTTTATTCTTGCTAAAGCTCTGAATTTTGTTTTTATTTGTTACCTAATGTTGCCACTTTGGAATTTTAAAGGGACAGTAGCCACTCCCTACCTTTCCTTAGTGGTCAGATGCATGGTATCTCCATCTTGGCACACTTCCACTGTCGTGAAGCTTGGCTCCTCCACGTTGAGCAAAGGTGACACCAGAGGGGGTGCAAGAGGGGGTGAGCAGCTCCCACAGCATTCCCCCTCTGCTGTCCTCTCACAGGAGCTTGTGGCCTCCAGGGCGAAGCCTGGAAAAAGTTTGGCTTCCAAAGCTTTAGGAAAACAAGGAGCCCAGCAGCAGATCCCTGTGTGGGTGATTTTCTAATCTCTCTAGGTCAGCCAATGTACCCCTTTGCTACTTTGGTCCAGGTTGATATGTCCTCCCATCTGCCCACATGTGCTCCCTTCTCTCCCTTCTTCAACTTTCCTTCCTTTCGTCTCTCTCTTTGTCTCTGGATGTTTCCCTTTTCCTCCCCACCAACTGTGCAAGGCTTTGGAGCAGAGAAGGATTAGCGTCTCTTTCGATTACAGAGGCTGATGGGTGACGTCAGTCTAGCTTGGCCTTCCTGTCTGACGAGTTGGCACATTGGGTCACTCGTACATCTGCAAAGCAGGCAATAGGCCCCACAGCAGATAGGCTTGATGGGAACAACGAGACGGATGCTTTTCACAATTTATTATGAGTCTTTTTAGTGTTTTCTGTCCATCTGTCCATCATCATCATGGCTCTCTCACTGCGTTACCAACCATGCATCCCTCCATCTGTGGATTTAGATTTGGACGATTCATGGAATTAGCTCAGAGGATCAAGGGCTCAGGCACGGGGAGGGGATATGTATATATATAACAGGCAGCAACCGTTCCTATACCGGCAGAGCAACGCAAACCGCAATGAGGCTCGATGGATAGGCCGCTTCCAGTCCAACAAGTTGACCAGTGAAAGATGGGGAAAGGTGGCTTGCATGTAGTATCTTGCACCAAAACATACAATACACCAGCTAAAATATAATATATTTTTGTGCATGGTACTAGCATCTTTTGTACTGGGAAAAAAAACATCCTGCAAATCACAAAGTGGTTACAACAGAAATGGAAAAATTGATTATTATTAAACATAGAAAAAACTAAATTCATGATGTTTGGAAATAAATTACAAAACAATTCAATCACAAGTCCACAAGATAAAATGTCTGTGATGATAAATCTAGCTGGAAAATTCATATCTGCCAAGTAAAATCAAGAATAGCCAAAAGCATTGCTGTTTTGAGGAAAGTAAGGATTTGGACTGGACAGTAAATCTCTGCTTATCTTATGTATTATTCTTATTATTCTTGTATTTGGTCTGATGTAATATCTTACTTTTAAAAGTTTTTTTTTTCTGTTAGCTGTACAGATTAAAGGCAACCTGTGAGTCATTCATCTATAGAGTGTCTCACAAAAGTGAATACACTCCCTGTGGGAATGCATTGGGAAATCTGGGTTAGAAAAATCTGCTGGGAATTCTTAGCATGAAGATCACATGATCTCCCTGTCCACGCTCTGGGTTTCTGAACCCTTTCCCTTTATGCAAAATATTTACAAACCTTAATTGTTGCAAAACATTTTTTTAAATACACTAAGATAAATTAATAAATATCAGTCTTTTATATGAACTTAGTAATAAAAACATAATCAACTTAAAAACTGACCCGATCCTAATGAGTTGAAATGCTTGGTTGCCTATTTATGTATCTTTATGTGTATAAATGTATGTGTATAAATCTAAATAGAAAATATGAGAATGCTGTCTTAGTTTGTTTCATTTTGCTTGTTTTTGGCATCTTGTTTCTTGCCTGTGTGTTGTTCGACAGTTTTCTGTCTGAAATAGGGCCAGAAAATATAAAATAAAACTCTCAAAGACTAAAATACTTGCGTTTAGAAATGGTCCCTATTATTTATTACAAACATTATTTTTTTTATTTCACAACATAAATGTCATACCTTTGAGGAATTTTACAAAACAATCACTAATGTTAAGTTATTCAATTTCAATGCGTCATTTTGTATCCTCCTAGGAAGCAACAACCTGTTAGGCGGTGACTCCAAATACTTCAGCAGGAGGAAGACAATGAGATGGAAATCATTATGATTTTTTTTTTATAGGATTAAATAAGGCTTTAAGTAAAACTGAAAACAAACAGCTCCAGGTAAACATCAAATCTTTTATTGCATGTTGAACAGTCTTAGTGATAAAAGTGAGAAAATATTGTTAAAGCAAGATATAGGATGAAGGACAACCAAGGAAAAAATGGAAAGTACCAATTATGGTTCCGACTTTCCAACCTGAACAATATCCATTTTTGCAGAAAGTTATAGATCATTTGTTCTCACATCTTGTTAAGGTAATATTTTATAGTTTAAGGAATAGAATAAAAGTTATCAGTTTGGATTTAGAACAGGTAGAACTAAAGATCTAGCTTTATGTTTAGAACTTAAAATTACATGGTTTCTAGTTAATAGAAAAGCATAATAACTATCTCTTAGATATGGATAGAGGGATTATTGATTAAAATAAAACAAAATAAGAATAAATGGTAGAATGTATAAGTGGATTAAAACCTTTATAGCTGACAGAAATATTAAAAATATAAAAAATGACTCCTCGTAGTAGTATAATTAGTCTCGTAATATTTTTTTGTATTTCTTTTATTTATTATTATTTATTTATTTAAAATTCTTGAAAATAGTACGCTCATTGGATAGAATATGATGTTGTTATGACAGCTGCTGACCAGAAGGTGGCGCTATTGCAGCTAAAAGTTGCCACCGGCTTACGAAGAAGAAAAAAGACCCTGCCACTGTCAACAAAAAACGTTGCGCCTTTTATCGCTATTTTTGTTTTTTGTTTTTCTCTATACAAAACTTTTTCAGATGGACATAGACGTTGGAACACACGAGCCGGGATTTGTTGGGATACGATTTTGTCAGGAATGGTGAGTTGCGGCCAAAAATAAACAAAGGAAAGTGGAATTAGCATGTTAGCAGAAGTGCTACCAGCTTGTTGCCTACAGAAGGATGTCCCGTATTGAACAGATTAAAATCAAAGTAACTTTGTTCATTCTTCTCCCAGTAACAACATGTTGTATCCAAAGGAAGACAAAGAGAACCGCATCCTGCTGTATGCGGTGAGTATTTGGTCAGAAACTAGCCGCTCATTTGTTAGCATACAGTTTGCAATGACATCTTCCTAAAAACGTGGATATTTTTAACCAGCCTGGGCTTTTAAAGGGACTGTGGGGTTTTCATGTGTTTAATATTGTCAGGAAAATGACCTTAAGCGTTTTTAAAGTTCGGGGGAATTAAGATATCCCCTAATGTAACCATTTATTCACAACCAGAAACAGAAAAACCCTTATTGCAAAGTGCATGTTTTAAACAAAGGTATAAATGCGTCATAAATGAATACTGGATGTAATTCAGTTATATTTAATTGATTTACTTCATATTTAATTTGAGACAAAACAAATGCACATAGCATTAATAGGGATGTATAGTGCAACTATTTGCAGAGGAAGAGCAGATCTGAAAAATAAACAGCAGCAGTATGACATTAGATTGAATAGTCTAGTATAAAATAAATTATGTTGATGCAATGAAACTTTAAAATATTCATTCATCTAATGTATAATTTCATATTTTAATATGTTTTGTTTTCTCTTTGAAACTGCAGTGTAGGAACTGTGACTATCAGCAGGAGGCTGACAGCAGCTGCATCTATGTCAATAAGATCACACACGAAGTTGAGTAAGTACTAAGATGTTATATTATCTGCTTTCTAGTTTTAAATGTGTGGCAAGATTACTCTTCTAACTTTTAGTACTTTAGGTTCCTTTTATTTGAGCGTTTTAGTTGTTCTGACATAATATACATGTTCTGTTTTGCTTTGTCAAACATATGGAAGACCGTTTCTCCATTAAAATAAAAAAAATGTCAAATAGAAAACCATAATTTTTAGTTTCAAAGTCATAATTATGATATACAAAGTCATAATGGAGATACAGAGTTTGAAATTCGAATATCTCATAGCTTGAAAGTCGAAATTATGACTTTGTATCTCGTAAATATGACTTTTGATTTGGCATTTTTTTACCTTCATGTGGCGGAAACTGGCTCCCATACAAATAGGCCAAATAAGATATATGGAAAAGGATACATCTCTTGAGTTATGATCACTTAAACTAACAGTGGACTTTAATGTTGTGATGTTAAGTTTTAGATTTTTATGTGGTCAACCAGTGAATTCAATTAGAAACTTTTTAGATGATTTTCTAAAGTACTGAGATGTGATCCTGTGGCAAAGCTGAGATTTTTCTAGGTTAGTGAATTATTCTTTAAAAAAAAAAAACATGTTATGACTTTGCTCATGCACTTCTTTCACTTAGAGAGGTCATTTATATTACTTTGCTGATCTTTTCTTCAATATGATAAGATTTCCTGCATGAAACTGAATTTACACGTTTTAATTCAATATGTGTGAAATACAAAATAAAAAATTCAAATAAAGTTGCGTACAGATGGGGGGCACTATACTGAGTTTGTCCTTTGATGAAGTCTGGCAGATGTGTTCATTTTAAACAACATTTCTCCAATATTGTGGCACTTAAGCTTCTATTTGCTTATGTAAAAATCTCTCATTTGTTGTGTAAGACGATTGATTGCCCTCTCCCAAATGGTGCTGTGATTTCTCTTCAGTGAATTGACTCAAATCATCGCTGATGTAGCCCAAGATCCTACGTTACCGAGAACAGAGGATCACCCCTGTCCAAAGTAAGTGCTCCCCTCTTCCACTTTATCTCTCTGTGGACATGTGGAGGTTAGTTTAATAATAATATTACACTAACTTTCAAGATAACTGAGAGTTACATTTATTTACATGCCAAGTCATATGCTATGTTAACAGAGCAGGAAAATTCAACCAAAATTCATCAGTCTAAGTGGACCATTTCAGAGCTTTTCAGCTTAAAAAAAAAAGAAAAATTATTTGAGCCACTTACATATGTGACATTAAATCAGATATTTATTCCATAGTTTTCATACAATGCTATACTCAACAACTTTTATGTCATTGCCCTGGGTGCCACTGCACTGGCGGAGAAAAAATTCAGAATAAAAGAGACCTGCTGTGTGTGAAAGTAGCAGTAGTGTCATCAATTGTACTGCGCTCCTTTGAGGCCAGAATTTAGGAGCAGTATGTTTCGTACCAGGCTTTTGTTTTTCTTTTACAATCATTTCCTCTAAAAACACCAAAAAAAGCAATCAGTGGGAAGGATCAATATGTGCTGTATGATCAAAATACAATAGATGATAAATGGGAGTCATAGATAATTGGTTACAATTAATACAGTTATTAATAACTTCTTATTTATTTATATATATAAGATAGGGTAGACTTTATCATTTAAGATGGATGTGGAATTTAAATTCACTTGAAAGATTTTTTGTTTGGAGTAAAACTGGAACATCCTGGAGGACAAACAGTCTCCCAATATACATATGTTTAAATCATCATACAACAATATGATATTTGTATGGAAATGGAGGGTGGTGATTATCTATTTCTCATCAATTATGGGGTTTTTTTTTTACATTGGCATTGTTATAAATTATAAGACTACTGGTAGTAGTGCAATTACAATGTTATTAGTAGTAGTAGTTGTATTATGATTAATAGTCCTATTATCACTTTTGGCATTAATTGTTATTGCTATTGTTTATAGCATTATGTTATAATAACTTTTATCTAAAGTAAATTTTAGTTTTTGTTCAGCAAAGGGGTGGAATTGAATAACCTTTGTCTTCTCGCTCCTTTTGAACAGACTTCTTTTTCAGTGGTGTCTTTCTCCATTGTTTTTTAATTATTCTCCTATTTAAAAAAAAAAAAACTAAACATTTACATACACACACAAAAACGTTTGCAATTGGCGATTTCGCTTTATTGTCTGAAATTAAGATTTTAATTAATTTATTAATCTCTGTATTTTTCTACGGACAAACAAAACATCTGTGAAATGTAAATTGGAGCTTTTCTCTCTATTTTTCTGACTCAAACTTGTACAAAAGCAAAGATCTGCATCAGTTAACAGTTTTTGGTTGTTGTTTTTTTTACAGCAGCTGTCAGGTTTCTTTTTTTGTTCAATGCTACGTTTTATGTTGTCAGGGTACCATGTTTTCAAATTTGTAAGCTTCAATGCTTCAAATGTTTGGTGTATGTTTGTATACACGCACACACACACACACACACACAGATATATATATATATATATATATATATATATATATATATATATATATATATATATATATATATATATATATATATATATATATATATATATATATATATATATATATATATATATTTCTGTTGGTATTTTAACTTAGTTAGATTTTTTTTTTCTGGTCACTTTTCAGATGTGGTCACAAGGAGGCAGTGTTCTTCCAGTCTCACAGTATGAAGGCTGAGGTAGGATGATGTCTTTATGACCTTTCTGTATTTGTTCCTTCGTAAATCTTCTGGTTGTATTTAAATGTTTTATGGTGAGCAGCAGTGTTATCTGGAGCATCAGCGATTTTCTTTCCCACACCTGATGAAGTAAAGTGTAAAGCCCTTCCGTTGCAACACAGCTTCACTATTATAGCCTAAATAAACAGTACTTAGAATTCATCAACGCTACTCTCCTTCAAACAGCTATCAGAAGCAGAAAATTGCTGATTTGATAGATCATTTTTACTGAAACTTATTTGTTTTACAGAAAAACAGAATTATTCTTTAAAGGATATAGTTTGCATAAGAATCTGCTATATTTTTTTCTTTAATCTTAACTCACAACCCAGTGCTTTAGAAGTTATTTGAACTTTTGAATCATTCTAAACTGAATCTAAATTAGTTTGGGTTTTTTTCCTTCCCAGGATGCTATGCGTCTGTATTACGTCTGCACGGCTCCTCACTGTGGACACCGGTGGACAGAGTAGCAGCTGTTTATCATGGAGAAGTCTGTCCTGAACAGTCCAAGATGGAGCTGGGAGATGGACCTTTTTTTTGTTGTTGTTTTTTTTTTTTTTACTAGCAGACCTGCTTTGTAATATACTTGTTTTCTAATTGAAAACCATTCACTGAATAGTTTGATTAGTGATGCTCAGTTTCAGTTTGTTTCTTGTTAGATTTTAAGAATTTGTTTTGGGGATTTGAATGTAATAAAACTTTTTATTTAAAAAAAAAAAAACCTCCTAAGACACTTCTGCTTTTTTGTTTCCCTATTAGATGAAAGAAATGGGATTCTGGTGACAGAATCACTAATTGCTGACATGACTATTGGGTACAACTTGGGCTTTGAGATCTAGATCTTAATTTCATGTGGGGTCTGTGCAGAAGATCTCATATAATAAGTAGGCTACACAGTTAAAAAAATTAAAAAGTCAAAAATATGAAGACAATTTTGGCACCAATTAAGAAAGTCAGCTTGTTCTTATGACTGGTTGGAAATATTGTCAAAGGAATAAGATCTTACACTGCAAAAATGTTTGAAAAATGCAGTTGTTTTTTCTTTTTTTAAATATGAATTGTCCTGTTCCTTTGGCAAAGTGTATCACCTGCTCAATTCAATAGAAAAATATGCTTATTTTAAGAAAAAAAATTTTTTTTGCAGTGTACTGCTGAATGTTTGTTTATCTTTCTCTGAGTACTGGAAACATGCAAAAGAAAAATGTTGAAGCAAAACAAAATAGACAGTTTTAAATCTTTGTTGAAGAGAATTTAGGCAAGAGGGAGTCTGGCTAAGCAGAGTTTTATAGATAAGTCATCAAATAAATATGTCTCTTTCACTCAGAGGACACATTAGTCATCTGCAGCCTGTTGCAAACCACAAAGCACAATGATAACCTGCATTTAATGACTGAAGTTTTCATATGCAGAACATCTTAATATTATTGTTGTTTTTCTGTGAGGTAAGGTTGTTGAAGGGGGTATTGATAACACAACAAAAGAAGAATGTGGTGCACAGCTTTAAATGCATTCAGATATTCTTTAATCCAATCAACCTCATTGATATACATACACCAAACTGACATCTGGATGAATTCTGCTTAAAGCTCGACATTTTTAAGCCATCATAACCTGACAATCCTGCTTAAATATGGGAGCTGTCTTCTTATAAATGGTAAAGCTTATTTAAATGTATTGCTTTATTGACCTGGGTCTGACTTTGAAAACTAATGCGAGCTTACTTTATTGTTTTGTTACCAGAACCAGTTAGATTCGACTTTGGGAACCTTTTATTATTTAAAGGTATAGTGGAGGATTTCCGCCAATTTTTGAAAAGACCCGCCCTCTCCTTAAAAAAAGAAATGCACATGCAAAACCCTGTACCCGCTCCCGAGAGGGAAGGGCTATTAAATGCGTGTTTAAAATTTGCTGTTTGCATCACTCATACAAGCTCACTTTCCACAAGAAGATTTGCAGTTTTTCCTCTATGTCAGACTCACCACCGGTAAGTGAAAATGGATGAGCACATAGGACAGCCTTACATAAACATATCAGCAGAATGATTGACAATTAAGAGGACCACTTATTTTGATGATCCACCTGAAAAAAGAACATCCTCCACTATAGCTTTAAGATTTAACCATAAAATTATTGTTTTAAGCAGATGAGCGTTGTAGAGCAATTCCTCCATGTTTTCTCATTTTTTTCCAGCAAACTTCATTAACATGATGCAGCTGACTCCTTTTTGTATCAAATTGTCAAAAACCTTTTCTGGAAATAAGTGGACCCTCCAAGGGAGCAAGGTTTGCAACTTTTGCGGTTCATGTTCAGTTCTAGAGATTATTTCTGGACATAAATGGGTTTTCACACAACATAGGTGAACAGAAAAATTTGCATTCAGGTTTTGAAATAACTAAAGCTTAAAAAATTGATAACCTGCTCCAAAGGCCTTACATCAACCCCATTAAGGTTTTGTCTATAACCTGCAAGTGTCAGAAAACTAGATGAGGTCAAGGAACTTCGTCAGTTCTCTCAGACTCTCAGACGGATATATCAGTAAAACTTTTTTTTAAATTTTTTCCCCTGTAGGTTAGAGAAAGCCCTGATAAATTACAATTCTTCTGTTAAAAGGACATGAAACTTGCATATTATATAATAAATCTATTGCAAAAAGAGACAGTTTAGCAGCTTTATTAAATGTTTGATGTAAAATTATTTTTAACCCCTGTTATAATTTGTCAAAATCTAACAGTGACTTCAATCAGATTATCAGTACAATGGGGATCTAGTTTCTGGAAGGGAAATAAAAAAAAAAAACGTTAAAAAAAAAATACAAGATCCTGCCAAATTTCCTGAGTGAGCACATTTTCATCTGATATAATTTTATCTTCCTGTTTTAAAACCTCCCTACGCTGCACTGTTGTAACTGATTTTTAAGTCTGAGATTTAGAATAATCCGTCATGAGTATCTTTTACCAGGATTACAATATTCAGCACCAACGATCACACCGTTTCAAAAAGCTAGAAATAACACTGTAAAAGGCTGGATTTTCCTGATCTCTGAATCACCAAGGAGGAAGCTGCACTTATTTCAGTTTCCTCTACAAGCAAACATAGTGAAAATACTGCCTCTTTTAGCAAATTCTTACATTTTATTTGAAAGTATTTTCCTAGGTTTACATTTGTTTCCTTTCACTTTGTTTTACTAAGCATATAACCAGATGAAGTACACATGGCCATTTATAGCGTTAAAGCTACAGCATTTTACTTCCTGCTTTCTGCTTTCTTTGGGATTTACAGTAAGAAAAAATCTGAAGTCATGCATTTCATGCAAATAACATTTGACCTTTTCACTTGTAAATTATATTTCTATTCTGTGGCCGGTGGTTCACGTTTAACACAGAAAGATTAAAAGCAATGAAATAATATTTTTACACACTAACATTACTGATTATTAGCAATTTTTTTTTAAATCTACTGAGAAGAGAATATTATAGAGGGAAACATAAGGTTTCTCAAATGCAACACAATGGTTGGTACTTGGTTATTAAAAAAGTGAAAGAATATATAATGATCAACTATAGATATAAGGAATTTTTTTATTGTTGCAAAAACAAAAAAAAGATTTTTTTGAAGCTGCAAGCAAAAATACTCTGGATTTTCTGCCTTACGAAGATTAGCAGGTGATGGCATTACAATGGTTTATGAGTTACCACTCACCAAGGGCTGTTTCCCATAAAGATGGCTTATGACTCATCACAAATAAATGAAAAAAGCCAGCTAAGGCTTACCATCATATGCAGTGAATAAAACTCCAGATAGAAAAAAGGGAAGTATGGCAAGATTTGGTGCCAAAAACCAAAGCCAGAAACTTCATTTGAATTCCGGTGACTTAGATTGTAGCCAATAAGAAACTGTTTTGACTTTCTCAACTCTGTTCGCTGCAGCTGCCAGAAACTGGAGCATGAAAGAGACCATCGACGGCCTAACGTAAGTCAACTACCAATGTTTTTTGGGGATTTTCTTAGCTAGTATAACACATGTAGATGACTGTGAATGAGCTCTTGACTCTAATATCGCTCTCATTCTGTTTATTAACAGCCAACGTCTTCCTGCTCTGTGGGAAGTTCAATAGTGGGATATTGATCTGTAGCCTACGAGGGGCGTTCAATAAGTAATGCCCCTGACCCGATTCCAGATCTTTGATTAAGCTGAAATTTTGCATGTGAGGTTATCTAAATCTCTATAGATTAAGTAGCAAATTACAGCTCTAAACTATTTGTGATTTCTGACTTACAGGTGAACTGAGTAAAGTCTGAAATGGAGCCTGTTGAGTGTCGAGCAGTGATCCGGTTTTTCTATTGGAAAGAACTCACACCACGGAAGACTTTTGATGAAATAAAAGTAACTTATGGCTATGATGCCCATTATATGACCTTGCAAAATGTCTTACAAGGTTATATTATGGGACATTATCACTATGAGCTACTTTCATTTGATCAACAGTCTCTGGTTGTGTTAAAATGCAAAAACACAGACTTGACTCAGTTTGAACACCTGTAAGTCAGAAACCACAATTAGTTCATAGCTGTAATTTCCTATTTAATCTATAGAGATTTAAATAATTTCATATGAAAAATTTCAGCCCTTGTAAATTCACTTTAAACGTCTTCAGTGCTTCTTTCTGACTTTTTTTTCTGTCCTTCCATCTCTAAGATGCTGTTCATTTATTTGCTCTAACAAACCTCTGAGGTCTTTACACAACAGCTGAATTTATGCTGAGATTAAATAACACAGAGATGGACGCTTATAAACTGTTGAATGGTAGCAGAATAAAGGAATCTCATTTTCTTTTTTACTTTGTGTTCATCTATCATATAAAGTCCCACTTAAATTAACTGTATGTAATTTGAAATGGTTTATTTGGTGTAAGAATGTTGGTTTTTTAACCTGTTTTTTTAAAAGCCCTCCTTACGCTTCCATAAAGGTATATCTCTCAATGATCTTTCTTATATAACAAATGTTTTCCAACTCCTAAATCATAAACAAGCCACAACACTTGCCGTCTGTTTTTTTTTTTTCTATGGGAAAACAAACATGTCAGTATTTCATCATAACCGGCAGATTTCCTGTCAAAACTCCGATAAACTTTAGAAATCATTTCTTATCTGTGTGAACAAATCTGTCCAGCCTGTGTTTACAATATTCAGCCCATATTTATGTACACTTCCTCCTTCTTCCGGCGTGTATATTCCAACCAGCTGGTTATGCAACTGTATGACTATTGCTCTGCCGGCTGTGCTTGCTGTAAAATAACTTGTTGGCATGCTACAAAAAAACAGCTTGTGAGGCGAGGTGTAGTTTCCAAAACCACACCCTCCTAAACAAACTATGATAAAGGAGGTGCTGCATGGTCAGTCTTCACACCTATAAGCTGCAGTGTACAGCCTCATGGAGCAAACAGGTAAGGGAATAGATACTAATTCCTCCTAATTATTTTCTTTGAAGGTTGTAATTTTAATCATGTCTTGATCTGCTTTAAAGTTAACATAGTTTCAAGGGAACAGTGGGGAGCAGCCACCCCGAAACAAACGGAGAGTCTCAAAGGTCCAGCGCAGAGAGTTGTGATACACCACACGGCCCTCCTGAACTGCAAGGGCCTGGCAGAGAGTAAGGACCATCTTCTTAGCATCCAGAGGCTTCATATGAAGGACAGACACTTTGATGACATCGGGTATAAGTGAGTATGTTTTCGCTCTTCATGTTTTAAATTTTAAGAAAGTTTTTGGTATGAAAATGTGACTGTCTCAATGTTCTTTCTTTCAGTTTCCTTATTGGAGGAGATGGCAGTGTGTTTGAGGGTCGAGGATGGGGTATGAGAGGGGCGCACACCAAAGGCCACAACGATGACTCCTTGGGCATCGCATTAATGGGCAATTTTAACAGTAAGCAATCCTTTGGACTACAGCAGTGGTTCCCAAAGTGTGGGGCGCGCCCCCTAGGGGGGGCGCAATGGCATTGTAGGGGGGGCGCGGGAAGCGGTATGGATGAATGAAGAAAAAATAAAAATAAATAAAAAACAGCGCTTGCTTGACTGAGCATAATGGACAGTTGTGACGCTGCAACCCAGATTTGAGAAGATCTACAGCAAAAAGCAGGCTCACTACAACCACTGAAGAGATGGGAGGATTAAAGTACAAAGAAAAAACTCTTAAATGTTTTCACTCCATTTTGCACAGAGGCTTTTTTAATGTATAGATTACAGCAAAGTTAAATATTGTTACAAATAAAAAAAAGAAATATGTTTAAAATAACACAGACAACAAAGAATCCTCTTCTAATCTACAGTATAGAACTATGAAAAAAATACAGTTACACAAAAGTGTTCCATTGTAAAGATGGTGTGTAGTTTGTTTTTTTGCAACCTGAAGTGTGAAATAAACTTCAGTGGAGTTTGGAGATTTATTATATCTGATCTAACGATGTGTGTGCCCAGTTGATTTTTTTTTTTTTTGGGGGGGGGGGGGGGGGGGGGGGGCTTGGAAATTTTATTGTAATCCAAAGGGGGGCCCAGAAGAAAATCTTTGGGAACCACTGGACTACAGCAACCCCCAGCTTACCAACAATGAATCAATAAATGGGCTTTCAAACTGCTGACTCATCTTTAAACCACGTGGATGCTAATAAAGCCTGACTTCTACTTCCTTTGATTTTAGATGACACACCAAGCAAAGAGGCGTTGTTGTCAGTCAAGCAGCTGCTGATTTCTGGAGTCAGACAAGGATTCATACAACCAGACTTTGTGCTGTATGGGCACAGAGATTTAGGAGCTACAGAATGCCCTGGAGAACATCTTTATGCTGCACTGCCACAGCTGAGGATATGACCTTGAATGAACCTCTCAGGAAAAAGAGAGGAAGAGGAAGTCTAAACCGCTGACTTATTTCAACCCTTTACCAGCTCCTTTCTAACCCCACGTTGGACATTATGCCATGTGGGTAGAGCTCTGATTAGATTTTCATTGGTGCTGTTGAAACCACACTAACTTGTTCTCAGGAAGGACTCCGATTGACCCCCTGATACCAAGAGGTCAGTAGAGCCTTGAAATTGTGAAGACAGGAGCCAAGGTTTGCCCTAACAATCACACTACCTGCAGCGACTTGCTCTCTTCATCCAACTGGGGGATGAAGATTAAACTATTATTGATCTCACATTGGAGAACTGCATTTAACCCGTCCCCTTTGGTAGTGATGGGCTGCCATCTTGGGACGCAATTGGGGGTTAAGGGTCTTGCTCAGAGAGCCAGAGTGGCAGTCTGTGGGAGTGGGGCTCAAACTTAATACATAACCTAAGGATTCCAAGCTCTATGCCCTAACCCCAGGCCGCCACTCCCAATCCAGATGATATAAAGCGGAACATGAGACATCAGACTATCCTCCTTCTTTGATCTCTGTGTGGACCAGTCATCTGTCTACCACTATTCATTGATTATCTAAACAGACCTCAGCTTGAACCCCACCTTGAACACCTCTCAAGAGCTGGAGTTTTAGAGATATTCTCACCCAGCCATCTTTATTTAGTTCACTGAATCCAGTCTGATCATTGTTTCCTGCTTCTTAAACATCAACTTTCAGGAAAAATTGCTCAACTGCTGCTTAAGAATTCCCATCAACAAAAAAACCACCCTGATGATTGATCATTTTTATTATCCTCTCTTTTCAGTGATATTATGGCTGAGCACCTCAAACTGTTTTAATGCTTGTAAAGGGGGTTCTTTTCCACCAGAGGGAGCCATGACAAAAGGCAAAACAACAGGAAGCACCATGTCCCTAATAGAAACATTCCCTAATCTTAGGAGCTGGAAGTGTTCTGTTGTTTTCTACCATGTAAGCTCAAATACTTTAGTCAATGTGCAATATAAGAGTAAGAGTGCAATTCAATTTCTCATTTAAACATAATGGATGTTTCTGTTCATTTTTATGTTGTTATTAATTAAAGATACATATTGTTGGGTTAATCTTTGTTTTATTCTTTATTGATAATTTTTGTTTTATTATTTTAATTTGGTGCCCATCGTTAAGAGATCAGAGCTAAATTCTCCCCATCTGACTCACAAATTGGAAACTGTTCAATTAAAAACAAAGTCTGTAAAGAACCATACTGTTCTCCGGTTGTCACCGAAAGATCATCCAAAATTTCAAAACAAGAGGTGGATTCATGTGATGAGACTGAGGGCAAACATCTAACCGGATTACAAATGTTGGGGCAGCGCTGCGCCCTTTCTGCAGGGCCGAAGGCATTCCCGACAAGTGCGCACTTGTGCAGCGCAGCGATGTGCGCAGAGAGGCCCCTGCATCAACCCGACTAACAGGGGAACAAATTGCATGTAGGTTTTGTGGTTCACGGAGGTCAAACAGTTTCTCACTGAAGAAAACAAACAAGCAAACACAATAAATCAAACGTCACTGAAACAAAAAGTTGAATATTTACTCAGAAAAATTATCCTTTTTTTTCTTTTTTAATTTTTTGGTGCTAATTTGTTGATTTTGAGCATATTTAACCGACAAAACATATATTTGCGCTTATTACAGAATAAAATGGATTTATGCTTCTTATTTTCCAGATCACTGATAGATTTAGGCAGCTAGTAGCTTTAAAATTACAGAAATAAATGCTTGATTAATGGCATAAAAGTGTCTCAAAAGTAACTTAATCCAAAGGGACAAGAGAATAGATGGCCACTCAAAACCTGAACAGAAAACCTTAAAAAGGTTTGACTACTCAGGTTTGGATATAGGGAAATGAAGCGAGTACAAAAAAATGTAGAGAATGGCAAATAATCTTAAAGTTGCAAGAAAAAAAGAAAGCCAATATGTGACTTTCTTCTTGTGGTGGAATTTGAAATATGTCAAATGGAAAAAATAAATAAATAAAAACTGGTGTTTATCCTTTTTTCTGAAAGTTTGTGTTTTCACCAGCCTACAGGCGTAATATTAAACTCAAAATGCTTATGAAAGTAGGCCTATATAAATATAAGAAACAATATTCCAATTAATCCAAGCTCATTACTTACTGAAAAAAATTGTGCTACGGCGTTTGGCATTTACTTAATCATATTTAGTTACTCCATGTTAGCAGGGTAAGACATAAAACAATTGTGTTAAAGTAACTAAATATGATTAAGTAAATGTCAAAATCGGTTGCATTTTTTTTTTGAGCATCTGATGTTTTGTATGTAAGACTGTCTGGACAAGAAATACCCATACATGAGTATGAGGATTTGATCTTTAACAGAGAGAGATCTTTATAGATAGATAGATAGATAGATAGATAGATAGATAGATAGATAGATAGATAGATAGATAGATAGATAGATAGATAGATAGATAGATAGATAGATAGATAGATAGATAGATAGATAGATAGATAGATAGATAGATAGATAGATAGATAGATAGATAGATAGATAGATAGATAGATAGATAGATAGATAGATAGATAGATAGATAGATAGATAGATAGATAGATAGATAGATAGATAGATATCGTCTAATTTTCTCATTTTCTATCTCGTATATCATAATCTGGCTTCCTGAAAAACAGTTTGTTTTCCTTTCTGTTGTTTATGTTGGGGTTATGCATACTACACCCAACTATTTTGCCAACCTCTGATGTGCAGAGATTAATGGAAAAGTAAGGAGAAGGTGAGGCCAGCCCAGAGGGAGAGGAGGGTGTACGGGGTTGAATTTCAGCTTAGTAGAACTGTTATAATTGCACCTAAGAGTTCACCAATCAGTCATACAGACTGACAGCATGAACCTTTATTTCTCTTCAGGTTATAGTGTCTGGTGTAACATAGTTTGGGTGAAACTTGTGCTTGGTGTTGTGTTGTGTTGGATACTTTTCACGATTGACATGTTTGCAAAATGGGTAAACATAAATAAGAATAATAGTTCATATATAATAGTTATAATATAATAGTTTAATAGTTTGCAATTACCAAAGCAGCCCTTGTATCTTGTAGGATTATCTGAGGTTTGTTCATTTAGCACCATGTGCGCTAAATGTGGGAAACACCTTAAATTAGGTGTATAAATGTTATTTTTTTCTGTCTAACAATCTAATCAGTTTCACAATTATTTATTTGATCAATAGTACGTTTTATGTTTGCATGTATATGTGTGATAATTCAGTACTGCTGTGATGTGGCATGGAAGTTTTCTCAGAGTCAAGAAGAAAGAGACCACGTCTAATGACAGTTTCTGAAGCAATCAAAATAAATCAGAAACTGTTTGTTGAGATTTATTTGAAAATTGCTTCACTGGGCCTCATTTATCATAACGGGAAGCAGATGTTAGTGCAGAAGTTGTTGAGCAATATGCACAACTGGTGATTTATATATAGGAGTATTAAAATGCAGGATAAGGTTTGTCTATATAACTTTGTTATCGTGGAGATCATCAAATTTAAACCAACTGCAAAAGTTGTACATGATTTAAAAATTGAAATTTGCTCAAAAGCTGAAGAATATTATCTATTTTTGTTGTTGTTTTTATCAACATGTTCTGTCCTGTCAAATAAGGAGGCAGGTGAATGATTCTATTAATTCCATGTATTCGATGACCTACTTTACTGCAATGATCCAACTTCATTCAGGCTATTAGGATATTTGTCCAATTATCTATTTTGGGCTTTAAAATATTCTGATGTAATAAATTATAAACAAATCAATCTTACAATAATCCTGTTACATTAAACACAATTTTTGAACTAGGATTGGAGGTGGAGTGGGGGGAAAAAACATTTTCTTCTTTAAGATTTTGTTGCTTTTTTTTTAGCTAGTTTGTTCCAATCTAAAATTGTCAATCAATATACAGTGTCAGATAAAGTTAACAGAAGCAGAATCAACTTTATTAGCCAAGTTTGTGCACACAAAAAGGAGTTTGACTTTGACTCTATTGCTCAAATCAACATTGGTTCAAACAACAGTCAAAATAAATATGTAAAAACACAGAGAGGTCAGGGAGCTGGGCTGTGTGTACGGCTTTTTAAAATCATTTTGCTTTTAGCAGATTAGCTGAGCCTGGCAGGAGAATAGAATAGAATAGAATAGAATAGAATAGAATAGAATAGAATAGAATAGAATAGAATAGAATAGAATAGAATAGAATAGAATATTTATTGTATTTATTATAATATTATTATATTTACTGTCATTACACTGTCACAAATACAAACCAACAAAATGTAGTTTGCATCTATGCAGTCTAACATCTATTGTATTAACTGATAAAAATGCAATTGCTGAATTATATAACCCATTAAGGTTAAAAAGCTATCGAAACCAACCTCACCTTACTCAAACAGTTCCCCCTAAGCCTTCAACCTAGCAGTGCCACACAGAAACTGCAACCAGCTGGCACCATCGCTGTGGAGGTCTTTGTTTGACCCACTCTTCATTATATTACTTGTTATTATCTTGTCATGTCACAACTGACTTCAGTTCAGATTTACCGGGCCACTAAAAAAACATATGTGCATCATAGTCCTGAAGGCTAGAACTCATGATCTAGCCTAGGCCCATACACTGCGACCACTGTTTCACTACTACTCTTTTTACACCAGATGTTACCTTCCAATTGATCACACTTTGGCCTTTAGCTCCACCTTCTGTTTCCTTAAAGTCTTAAGGACCATCACAAGTGAAGCATAAATTTGACTTCTTTTGATCAGCATTTTTGTCTCATAGTTACCCTGTCTGGTTCTTGAGTCAGACAGACATGCACTGGTTTTAAAGCAAAACCAGTTGGACCACAAATCAGAAGGGACCAATATTCTGCTCTATATCGTTAAAAACATTTTAGGAACATTGAGGAAAACGCAGTTTCTTTCTTTCCTGTAAATTTGAATCTGGGCACCCCCAGGATCTGCATCTATGACTGGGCCAGAAAGCAGAAAATGTGACATAAGTAATAGAAATGACTAAACTTTAATAAAGGGAGGTTATCATAATTATCAAAACACGAAGACAGATTGTACTTTTGTTGTAGTATTTATGCTAAATATAGATTTAAACTTAATTTCTTGAAAATTAAACATTTCGGAAATTGTTAAATGGAATTATTTAAAAAGCAGCATTCTGGTAACTATCTACTCAGTTTACTTATACCTAGGGCCAGCTTTGCCTGAGCCGCTGCAATCGTGCGCATGTGTTGCCAAGTTTTGGTC